GGAAAGAGACCCCAGCGATCAAGGCAGTGGGCAATTAGGCATTTATTTATCTGTGCACCAGGTCTTGAGAGGGACTTTACCTATTTCTGTCCTCAAGGAGTCTCCTGGGAAGGTTGGGGCCCCCCAAGTCACCTTGGCAAGAAAGGCAGTTCCAGTGGCTCTCCAGCCCTGAGCCCCTCGTCTTCTAGTCCTTGCTGCATCCAAGCTACGGGCAGGGAGATCCAGGGCTCCAGGATTCCAAGCAGACACTTGACCCTGGTTACCACCCTATCATATCCCCTAGAGCCACAGCGATCCAGAGCAGCAGGGCTGGGAGGAGGAGGCGGTGGAGGGAAGAAATGGACGGGGTGGCGCCCATTTCAGCTCCACCAAGAACCCCAAGTTGAGCCCTAGAGCAAAGCCTGCTCATCTCATTGGTGTTTCCCCCCCATGTAGAGGGATGTGGTTGGCAGGGACTGTCTCCGTGAGCCCTTTGCCCTGAGGGGCATGGCCGGAAGTGTATCCTTTCCTTGGCTCTTCTGAGAAGTGGGTGTGGCTAGAACCAGGCAAGGCTCTCCCTTATGACCCAGGGATCAGCTCCCAAGGGATCTTTCTGGAGATGCTTCTGAAGCCCAGCTTTGGTCTTTCTCCCACTCGCTGCCTTCCCCTGGGAAGTCAGAGATCGCCACCCAGCAGTCAGCAGGAGGCCCCGCTTTACCTGGATGGGAAAGCTCTTCTGCGGCGGTGGTGCAGCTGCTGTCCCTCCTGGGCGAGAGATGCAGGGGGCGCGGGCCCCTCACCTCGTCTCCTCTCTGCGGGTTCCCTTTGGCTGTCCAGGCACTGGGCTGGTTGAGGTGGGGAGCTCGGCTGCTCTGTCACTCACTGGTGGGGGCTGCCCTGTCCTCCCCACCCCAGGCGCACTCCGAAGGGTGCAGCCTGCACTTGGAAGGAGAGTGGCGGACGGCAGAGCGGGATGGCCGGGCGAAGCAGGAGGCGAGAGACTGGGTGCTACAGTCACACACGGCATCCTGGGAGGAGGGAGGAAGAAGTCGGGAGGAGCCAGGAGGCACTGCCCACCCAGGGACTGGGTGGCCAGGCAAGGAATTTGGACTCAGCTGTGCCCAGGGACCAGTTCCCAGGGGCTGTAGCCCCTCTCTGGACCAATTTTTAAAAATTATTTTCTCCCATTAGAACAGTAATGAATGCTCATAAAGAACCTTCCAGAAGGTAATAAATTCTGGAATATACAGAGAAGAAAGTAGACATTGTCCATGAAAGATAAATTCTCAAAACATTGCACACACATGCATTTACCCAAATGATTTCAGCCCCTACAGCTTATTTTGTAATTGCAAAACATGAGCACTTTTTTGTCATGCATGTCCAGATCTCCTTCTTTTCAATGGCCACATACTATTCCACTGAATGGAGGTAGTTTGATTTATTTATCCAATGCATTTTTTTTATGTGGATATTAGGTAGTTTCTAGTTTTTTTTTTACTATTACCAACACACAGGGATAATGGTTAAAAGTGCTGCTGTACATTATTTACAATTGCCAAAACCTAAGTGTCCATCAACAGATGAATGGATAAAGAAGACGTGGTATATATCTACAATAGAATACTACTCAGCTATAAAAAAAAGAATGAGATTTTGCCATTTGCAGTAACATGGATAGACTTGGAGGGCATTTTGCTAGGTGAAATAAATTAGATAGAGAAAGACAAATACTGTATGATATCATTTGTATGTGGAATCTAAAAATTACAACAAACTCGTGAATGTAACAAAAAAGAAGCAGGCCCACGTATATAGAGAACGAACTAGTGGTTATCAGTGGGGAGAGGGAAGGGGGGAGGGGCAATATAGAGGTAGGGGATTAAGAGGTACAAACTATCAGGTATAAAATAAGCTATTGTACAAGGATATATTTTACAGCACAGGGAATGTAGCCAATACTTTATAGTAACCATAAATGGACTATATCCTTTAAAAATTATGAATCACTATACTACACACTTGTAACTTATATAATATTGTACAGCAACTATACTTAGAAAAAAAAAGTGCTGCTGTAAAACTCAATTGCTTGGTTCAAATCCCAGCCCAACTGTCTACCAGCTGTGTGAACTTGGATAAGTTATTTAACCTCTTTGAGCCTTGATTTTTCCTGCTCTAAGATGAGGGATGTGATACCTTTGTCAAAGTTGTTGTGAGGGTCACATAAGGTATATGTGAAGCATTTGATAGCACCTATTAAGTATTCAATAAATCTTAGCAATTTTTATTAATAATGCAATACACTTCTTTACACACATATCCACCTCTGTGAATATTCCCATAGGCTACATTCCTAGGAGAACACTGGGTCAACAGGTAATAAGCACATTTTACAAACTGAAAAACATTTGGATCAACTGTGAAACCAACATTCAAAATACGGCCAGCTTTGTACCTCTGTTTCTTTATGTAGGTGTGGTTATGTGGGTGTGATGATTAATTTCATGTGTCAGCTTGACTGGGCCACAGGTCCAGATATTTGGTCAAATATTATCCTGGGTGCCTCTGCAAGGATGCTTTTGGAAGACAGTAACATTTAAACCAGTAGACTGAGTAAAGCAGATGGCTCTCTCTAATGCGGGTGGGCCTCATCCAATCAGTCAATGTACTGAATAGACCACAAAGGCTGACTCCCCCTGAGAAAGAAAGAATTCTTCCTTCCTGATGACCTTTAGATCGGAACTACGTCAGCTACATATGCTGTGCTGGAGCTATACCATTGGCTCTTCTGGTTCTCAGACTTTTGGACTCAGGAACTAAACCATTGGCTTTCCTGGGTCTTCAGCTTGCAATATAATAAATCTCTCTCTCTCTCTCTCTCTCTCTCTCTCTCTCTCTCTCTCTCTC